TTGTTCACAGGCTGCTCAGGAAGGGTAACTACGCTCAGCGTGTCGGTGCCGGAGCTCCCGTCTACCTGGCGGCCGTGCTCGAGTACCTGACCGCTGAGATCCTGGAGTTGGCTGGAAACGCTGCCCGCGACAACAAGAAGACCAGAATCATCCCCCGTCATCTGCAGCTGGCTGTCCGTAACGACGAGGAGCTCAACAAGCTGCTCGGTGGAGTCACCATCGCTCAGGGCGGTGTCCTGCCCAACATCCAGGCTGTTCTCCTGCCCAAGAAAACTGAGAAGGCAGCCAAGACCAAGTAAACCAACAACAACTTCTCCTTCTCATCCACAAAGGCTCTTTTAAGAGCCACCCACAATCTTCATAAAGACACAATTCCTAAATCACTGTAGACATAAATAAGACGTCATAAAGGATTATTTTTCTTATCTGAATAACTATTTTAACATGTTAACTGTAGGGCTGTTTGGATACATTTGAGTTGTCCAATCAATTGATGTATTTATACTATTATATTATACTAAACTTATACATTAATGATTGGAATCAATGTATATGTATGACACAAGAAAGTGAATACACATGACAATATTTATTCAATTTTAATAAATCTGTAAATGAGCTGTCAAAACAATGTTCAAATTGATTATACTTTTTAATTGTTCTTCAAACTGTCTGGGATTTATGTTTAAAAGTCATGTAAAAAATGGAAGGTGACAATAATATTTTCCACAAATTCACCCTTTATCCACAATCTTAATTTGCATTTTGATATTAAAACTCAGATTTTATTTATGTTGAAAAAAATGTACCTATGTTGCTGTTGTGGGAATGGAGTTTATATGAACTGAATCAACACTTATCGTCAATGAGAACATTTTCTAGTTTCATATTTGTTTTGCCATTGGTGATTGAAATGTGTTTTTATTTATTGGCTAATTAAATAATTACTGTTGTAGATGTTTTTTAAAACAAGAATGAACATCACATACGAGTTTGATTATTTATTTTTCTTTGACGTAAGAACCATGACACACTCGAAATGAATGAATATTGAAATAAAATATTTTATTATTATTTCTGTAACGACTGAACAGTCAGTTAATGTCTTTGTGAACAAAATCAAAACTCCCGCTTTGTCTAAGAGGAAGCAGCTGGAGCTCAGAGCAGAAAGCACCGTTCTCTACCACGTCCTCAGTTGGTGTTTATATAGACGCAGCCGTGGC